TTGAGCTTAAGAAGCTCAGGGACAGTGCCCAGGCCCTGAGTTCAAGCCCCAGGACTAGCAAAAAAATAAAAATAAAAGAATACTATATACTCTTAGGAAACAAAGATTCAGTGCCTGTGTCCATCTGACCATATAATATAGAAATGAACTCCAGGAAATGGAACTGAGATATTTTTCTTTCTTGGTGTTTTCTTTTGTCTTGTTTGTTCGTTTATATGTCTTTGGGAGGGACACAGAAATGGAAGAACAAAAAATGAACAAGTGCAGCAGTGATATTCACTAGACACTGTATTAATAATGTACTATACAACTTGTGGGTGGGGAATGGGAGGGGAAAACTGGGAGAGCAAAGGAAGGGATAACATTATCCAAAAAGAAATATAGTCTTTACCTAACCTATGTAACTGTAACCCCTCTGTACATCATCTTTATAATAACAATTTAAAGTGGGGGGGAATGGATACTATGGCTGGGCACAGATGACCTATGTACCTAACCTGTGTAACTGCAACCCCCATGTACATCATCTTTATAATAACAATTTAAAGTGGGGGGAATGGATACTATGGCTGGGCACAGATGATTCACTGCTATAATCACAGCTACTCAAGAGGCTGAGATCTGAGAAACCTTCCTGCCAGTCTGGGCAGGAAAGTCTGTGAGTCTCTTAATATCCATTAAACAGAAGAAAGAAGAAAGGAAGGAATGAACGAACAAGATGACAAAGAAAGGGAGGAAGGAAATAAAGAGAGAAAAAAAGAAGGAAGGGAAAGAGAAAAAAGGAGAGAGGAAAGGAAAGGAGAGAGCAGAGGAAAGGAGAGGGGAGGGGAGGAGAGAGGAAAGAGGAGAGGAAAGGAAAGGAGAAAAGAGCCTAAAGTAGAGCTCTGGCTCAAGTAGTAGAGGGCTAGCCTTGAGCATAAAAGCTCAGGGACATGCCCAGGCCCTGAGTTCAAGCTCTAGGACTGGCACTAAAAAAAAAAAAAAAAAAAAAAATTCATATTATATGCCATGCAAAAGAATAAGGCAGATCTCTCAGGGCTGATAGGAAAAAATCATTTCATTATTGACTAGTCAAGCTTCCTGTCATTATAAAGAAATGCCTGAAACAAAGAAAAGGTTGGGGGCAGACATGGTGGGACAGGCTTGTAACCCCACCTACTAGAGTTCAAGACAGGAGGATGATTGGCCCAAACCAATCAGTTTAGACAAAGTTATCAGGAGACCCTAGGTGAAAACAAACAAAACCCTAAAAATGAAAGGTCTTGCAGACACTGATGGCTCAGATCTGTAACACTACTATTCAGAAGGCTGAGATCTGAGGGTCTAGATTTGAAGCAAGCCTGCAGGACAAATCTGAGACTCTTATCTTCAATTATCCAGAAAAAAGCCAGAAGTAGGGGTGTGGTGGTAAAGCATCAGCCTTGGTGATAAAGCCAAGTGAGGGCATGAGGCCATGAGTTCAAGCCCAGTATGGGTATAAAAATAAATATATACATAGTATGTAAATAAATAAATAGACTGGGGGTTTAGACAAGAGGTAGTATGTGATTAGCAAGCACAAGGCCTTGAGTTCAATTCCCAGTGCTGTGAAATGTCTTGTTTAGCTCACAGTTTTTTAAGTTCAAAGGCCAAAGCCAAGACTTGGCCTCTGGTGAAGGCAGCAGGTAAGGACTCTTCCTGAAAGCAGCATAAACATGAGCAAGGAATCCCATGTCCAACACGGAAGCAGAAAAAGCCATGTAAGCCCAAGCTCACAATTCTCTCATGAGAACTACCAAGTTCAATAAAAACTACCAACCGAGGGCACGTTCCCAATGGCTAAGCCTTTTGAACCTTCAATCACAATAGACCTTTAATGGGATGCCCAGACCATAGCAATCATCAGGACATAGTTAAAAATAAAAGGGGAACCAGGTGCTAGTGACTCATGCCTGCATCCCTACACAGGAGGCTAAGATCTGAGGATGGCAGTTCAAAGGCAGCCTGGGCAGGGAAGTCCATGAGACTCTTATCTCCAATTAGTCACAGAAAAAGCTGGAAGTGGTGCTGTGGCTTAAGTGGTAGGGTGCTAGCCTCGAGCAAAAGCAGCTCTGGGACAGTGCCTAGACCCAGAGTTCAAGCATCAGGATTTCCAAAAAAAGAATTAAGAGGAGATTGGGCTGTCCATTAGATGCAACTTGGTAAGCACTGGGAGAGGTTGTGGCACACCAGGAGCTGAATTTATAAAAAACAGAATCTCAAACAGTAGTGATGGCAGTTGACAGGGGATGACAGAAGGTAGACCTGACTTTCAGCTTCCCAAAATGAGACTTCCAGTAGGGAGCAAATCTATTAGACGTCATCATGGTGACAATCAAGGATGTCCAGAACGCTGTGTGTGCCAAATTCAAGGTGGAAATGAAGCTTGACTATGCACTCCAGATAAGGCTGATGCAGGAACTACATGTCCTATGGGCTCCCTTTGGTAGAAGCTGAGGCACTCAGCTGAAACTATTGGGCCTGAGAAAGGTTTTAGTGTGCCAGAAGAGCCCCAACCAAGGTAGATAATCTATTATTACATGCACATATATATTTATAAAATACTAGTTAACACCATGGAATATAAGACTCAAGTCTGAAGCTGCTAGAATCAAAGAATAATTTAAAGTATGTGAAGTATTTACAGTGCAAATACCTACAGATGTACTTAAATATAATGTGCTAGAATCAAAATTTTATCTTCAAACAAGTACAGACACTTCACTATCTCTGCCATTAACAACGCATTTACAAAACCCTTCAGTAATAAATAGAATATGTATTTCTTTCTCTAAAGATGTTTAGCCTCTGTCTAATGGTCCAGTTTGCCACAGTTGAACATAATTTGTAATCTCTAGTAGTAGAGATAAAATGGTGCCACATGATCTGCTTCTGGCTTAGAATGATGGCAATTCTCTCATCAGAAGACTGCAACAATATCCTGGCCAGGTCACCCACCTCAAATCTGTATTAGAAACATAAAAAGAGAAGGAAAAATGGACCCCAAGCACTTGGGCTTCCTTTTAAAAATGCATTTTGCCAGGCGCTGATCGCTCACATCTGTAAACACTAGTTATTCAGGAGGATCCTGATTCAAAGCTAGCCTGGCAGAAAAGTCCACAAGACTCTACCTTCAATTAACTAGCAAAATGCCAGACTGAAAGTGTGAGTACCAGTAGAGTACCAGCTGTGTGAAAGAAAGTCTACTGACAGCTTTGAGTCCTTGAGTTCAAGCCCCAGTACCAGCACACACATACATACACAAATGTGCCTTGAGAGAGATGGCACTGGTTTAACTATAGAAAATTCTAGATTTATACATTTTAGCTTTTTACAACTTAAACATACAGCCTTTCTCAGATTAGCAACTTTAGATCAACTGCTTAAAAATGTACAAATATAAGTTCTCCCATAATATTGTATCTCTCCTCCTCCGAGAAAGTACCATAGTCCCAAATTCCCAATACATGGCAAATTCTAGAGAGTCAACATGTTATAATTCTAACATTTGTGATCACTTTGTTTTGAATATGTGAATGTCAATGACTTTCGGTTTACACATTACACAGTTCCCAGAACACAGCAGGCACTCAAACTGCAAGTATTATTACTGGCTGCCCATGAGTCAGGATTCACATTTTTTAAATAAGCTGGCCACAGTGGCAAAGTAGTATAAAAAGAACTTAGAGGGAGGCCAAGACTCAGGCCCACATAGCCAGTGGGGGAACTGTGAGGGAACTGCCCACCAAACCCCACCTAATGCACCATCACAGTTCCTTTAAGTTCATCATAGCAAAAATGGAAAGGACAGACATTTTGTGAGCCCAATTCTGAGCTTTTTTTTCCTTTTTGCATTTTTTAAGTATTTTAGATCTCTTCAACTTTTTCAAATAGTTTACATTCCAATTTGGCAAGAGACTACATAAATCCTAACTAATATATTCATTCATCCTAAATCCATTTTCCATATAAATTAATCTTCACTCAGTTTTATTGTATGAGACTTACTGGTTCCCAAAGCAAATCTTTTTTTTTGGGGGGGAGGGTCCAGTCATGGGGCCTGAACTCTGGGCCTGGACGCTGTCCCTCAGCTCTTCAGCTCAAAGCTAGCGCTCTACCACTTGAGCCACTTCCGGCTTTTTTCTTTTTGCTTATGTGGTGCTGAGGAATCGAACCCAGGGCCTCAGGCATGCAAGGCAAGTGTTCTACCACTGAGCCACCTTCCCAGCCCCCCCCCAAAGCAAATCTTAAGAGTAACGGCCAGCTTCCTTGTTCTTCACTTTCGAAAACAAACTATCAATAAGATGCAAGTAGTTCTGTAATAAGTTCTTGAATGACAATGTGAATATCAGAAAACTTTAATACACAGATAACATGAAAAGTATTCAGTGTCAGGCCCACCAATTTAACAATGAGAAGGCCATGAATGAAATGGAGGCCACTAATATTTGTTAGTCATCAACACTTGTTGAGCCTGGCAGAGCCAGGAGACTGAACATGAGAAACAGGACCTGTGACAGTTGTTCCTAAAATAGAAGCTGATCATAAAGATCTCATTTCAGAATTCTAACAAGTCTTCTCAATTAAACATTACAACCAGGAGACTAATGGGAAAGTACCAACGGCAAAATATACTTTATAGTATTTTAAGTCAGAGACAAGCATATCCTTACTGAATCTTATATGATAGTAGGGGGGGTATATATGATGAAAACATTAAAGTTTTCAAAGTAAATATTTTCAACATAAGGACTGTTTATCACTTATAAGTAGACTTTTATTAAAGTACAGCTGCATGCAGTTATTTTAGTTAAGTATAACTTAGCAGTCTTGAATATGTACATGGACCCCAATAAAGGCTGAGTTGTGAAGGAAGCAGAAACATGTGCAACGTCCTCCCCTAATGCAAACTATCTCAAATTCTTCTTCAAAGTGGCCAGGTTATACAGCATAACATGCAGAAGTAAGTCAAGACACTCAAATAACACTCAAACACATCTTTTTATTACATACTAAATTTAAAAATACAAATCCCATTAAAAATGCTTATCAAACGCATATATAAGGACTGTCAAATACTACTGGATTATGACATTATGTACAGTTGCTAAGGTTAATGAGAAACAGAACAAAGTAGCCTAACTGCTGATAGTGAATCTCAGAAGTCGGCATGTGAAAATTTGGCAACTGTGAAGTGGTAATCTGCACAGGATGGTCTGCAGAGGTAAAATAGTAAGAAATAAACGGAATCATGCAGCTGGCCTGTGCTCAGCTTTAAGTTTACTTCTTCCTTGTCCCTTAAGTCTCACTGTAACAGATTAAAGTGCACAAGACCACCAGGAATTCTTGATTTGGCTGTACCCTAAATATGTCCCCCAGCCTGACATATGGAGAGCGTCAATCCTTTGTACTGTTCCTGAGGCTTTGGGAGTTCATTTTGAATGAAGCTAAGGGGAGAGAGGCCAATACTGTCTAAATTGCACCACATGGCCATAAAGTGTAAAAACAAAAAAAACACCAAAGACAAAAGTGTTAATTTGGGAATAGATTCAAAGAAATCATTCCTGTCTATTTTGCCCTAGGAATAAAATTAGAATAAGGACTTAGTTTGCCTCTGAAAAATACTTACTAAAAATCTGTTCCAAAAGCTGAGACAAGTACAGCAAGACCACAATACTGCCATTACTGTTCACCACATACATAGTGCATCATAAATACAGGCACAAACACCTGCCCTCTAAGGGATTGCAGGAATACAGGTAGAAACATCGTAACATTTGACACATACCTTACTAATTAACACTAAGCATAATTTGTAAAAACAGGTCACCACCATACAATCAAGGAAGAGGAGAAGGAAAGCTAGTCTACAAAAGTGCTCCTTTTACCTTTCAAACCCAATAGTTTCATTTTGGGTAAAACAAGATTGTAAGGTTCAGGCCATCAGTTCTAAATAAACTGATGATATATATACACCTTCACATATATATGCTTAAATTTCATTCTGATTTAAACTAATGTACTAGTACAAATCATGTATAGGAAACATTTTATCCATCTTATTTACAAAGATATGGAATACTTTTAAAAATGCAGATCAACGTAGCCATGGTTTCATATAGATAGATAAGACAATTCATATAATTTTTTTTAAAAAAAGAAAAAAATTCAGAAAGAAACCCCTACCATACATACCTACTGGTCATTGGGCTTAAGGAGCAAATAAATGTAACCATCATGATTAAATTTTTATCACTGCTTCTTTTACTAACGTAGATATGAGGTCTATTTACGAGTACTACCTAGAACTACATATTCTCTCATGATTGGATAGAATATTAAGTTACTGAATACATTTATTTAACTCCCATGGCACATCACACTTGGTAACACTAATAAGGTAGATTTAGATAACACTTAAATCATAATTACGAATGTTTAATTGAATATTTTCCTTTCTGTAGCTGCGAAATGTAAAGCTTAGATTTGCTTCCATCAGGCCTCTTAAACCAAACTTCATCATGGTTAATTGTTGTAATTACAGCACTGTAAAGGAAAAAAAAAACAGGCAAAATGAATGAATTACAATATGCCTCTTCATCCTATTTTAAATTACTATATATAAAATCAAAAAGGTTGGACAGTAGGTTCAGGTAAATAATTGTCAATCACCAAAATGCTGCATTATCAGTAGGGCATGTAGTCAAACTACCACATTCAGCAACTTTTAATAGACAGCATCCTTTCTTTTCTTAATGGAATTGGTAAATTTTATCTTCTATTTACAGCCATTTTGATTAGCAATGAACTGCATATAAACAGTGGCTCCGTAAGATCAGAACAGAGCTAAAAAGTTCCTAGCTCTGTTGAAGCCATCAAAACATTATCACAAAACTTGTTATTCCCATATTTGTGAAAATGCTGGTACACACATCTACTGTGCCTAGTCTTTTTGTCAGTGGAGGACCTTGAACTCTGGGTCTGGGTGCTGACCCTCAGCTCTTCAGCTCAAGGCGAGTGCTCTACCACTTGAGCCACAGTACCCACTTACGGCTTTTTTCTGTGTATGTGGTGCTGAGGAATCGAACCCAGGGCCTCATGCATGCGAGACAAGAACTCTACCACTAAGCCACATTCCTAGGCATAAGGAAGAACAGCACATGTAATTACAAACAGAAATGGACACTTGATAGCAATGATCAACAATTTTGTTGCTGGTTTCTACAGCTTTACAACTTGTTGTAATTTTACTTCTGAAAAAGGTTTACTATAAGACAGATCACTATGTTACAGCAGCAGTCTCATCCTTCACCTCTTGACTGCATCAAGAAATGAAATCACAACCAGGTGTGGGTGGCTCATACCTGTAATCCTAACTACTTTAGAAGGCTAAGATATGAGTTTCGCAGTTCAAAGCCAGCCCATCAGGAAAGTTCATGAGACTATCTCCAGTTAACCATCAAAAAAGCTGAAAGTGGAGCTATGGCTCAAGTGGTGGTGTTCCTATGCTTAGAGACAGCACCCAAGCCCTGAGTTCAAGCCCCAGGACCCATGAGGGGTAAGGAGGGGGGTGAAGAGAGACTGCATCCAGGTACAACTTAAAGAGGCTATAAAAGCTGGGCACAGGTGGCTCACGCCTGTCATCCTAGCTACTCAGGAGGCTGAGATCTGAGGATCACAGTTCAAAGCCAGTCCAGGCAGGAAAGTTCATAAGACAATTATCTCCAATAGAACACTGGAAGTGGTGCTGTGGCTCAAGTAGTAGAGTGCTCACCTTGAGCTGAAGAGCACAGGGACAGCACTCAAGCCCAGAGTTCAAGCCTCACGACCGACCCAAAGAAAAAAAAAAGGCTATAAAAATAGCTTCATAGGGGCTGGAAAGGTGGCTCAGTGGTAGAGTGCTTGTCTCGCATGCATGAGGCCCTGGGTTCAATTCCTCAGCACCACATAAACAAAAAAAGCCGGAAGTAGGCGCTATGGCTCAAGTGGTAGAGCACTAACCTTAAGATGAAGAGCTGAGGGACAGCGCCCAGGCTCAGAGTTCAAGCCCCACGACCAACAAACAAACAAATAAATAAATAAATAACTTCAGAAACTTTAGTTCAGTCTAAATAATTAAGACTTTTAAAGGCACTTTCTAATTTTCAAGTTAAATAGAAATATAAATATAATCAGTCTTTTTTTTGGGGGGTGGGGCAGTACTAGGGATTGAATTTAGCCTTATGTTTGCTAGGCTAATTTCTCATTCCTTTCTCACCTTAATTGATACAATTCGTTTTTGATTCAAAATACTGTAACAAGACCCAAAAAGTTAAGGACTAATAGGCTGGCCAGAAATTATTAGTGATCTGGATTAAAGGTGTTAGGAACACAATAATAAATCTACTGTAAGAACTAACAAACAAGAACACTTACTCATATGGGTAAATAATTCCAAACATTTCACTTGTGTTCAAGACTTAATGTGTAGTCTGCTAGATATAAACATTAATATTGGTGCACAATTATAATCAGATCAGGTCACATGAAGACGGGTGGCACAGAATACTGGCAATGTCCTGTGGCTGGCCAACAGAGGAGGGTGCACTCTCGTGGACAGTACTTCCTGACACCAATAATCACAAGCCACACTTCAATGACCAAAAACTTGCTTACCTTGTGGGACATTCGTCTTTCTTATCAATGCATATTGTTTGTCCACGTATATACCACTCGCCATCATAATATAGTCTCCCCTCTTCAGACCTGGCACTGTGCAGATGCTTTTCTAGTTTCACAGGCACTAAAGGGGTCAGTTCAAAAACTGTTATATTAATAAGACATCGTCAGAAGAACAAGAGGATACATTAAAAGGCGACACCAATATATGCATCTATGTGCAAAAGCATTAAAACTATCTCTTAAATAAAAAACCCAAAGATGAGAAGTTTATTTCTTATATTCTTTTATATAATTCACTATGCATTAGTCTAAACAAAGCTAAACAATGAACAATAAATTGCCAGCTAGTGAGACAAGTGCCAGAAGGGGAAGCAGGCACTTGTCAGTTACTAGTGCTAGTTTTAAGTAGTGCTGAAAATATCAACTGCCATATTTCCTCTGAATATACTTCTCATATTTTCCCTCCAGCAAAGCATCTGCCCTTGCAAAGCAGCAGACTTCAGTGAATTCCAAGAAGTCCCCAAGCTTTGCATTCTTTAAAAGGAACACCCTAAGTGGAACTTCCACTTTTCAAACCTGGAAATGGATTGGCATGCAGGAAAAAAAAATATTGCTCTCAGAAGCAGTCCATGAAGTAGGGAATTCTTTAGAAGATCTTCAGAGAGATCTTCCCTAGCTCCTCAACCCACTCCTCAGGGACTCTACACGTCTTAACACTGGAACAATTATCATCCTGGATACTATCTTAAACATACACACACACACACACACACACACACACACACACACACTTCCACACAGCCCCAAGGAGGCCTGTCTCTTTCCCCATTGTATCCCAAGAACTTAAAGAATGCCTAGTATAAGTGTGCATTTGCTCATTCAGTTACCCATTCATTAAGCTACTTAGCATTTCCTACACACACAAAAAAAACTGCTCAGTGTTGAGGTGGGAGGCCTGACTAAAAGGTTCAAGGCTCATTTTTCTAGAGTTTAGTCCAATCAAGAAATAGACGAACAAGCTGGGCGCCGGTGGCTCACACCTGTATTCCTAGCTACTCAGGAGGCTGAGATCTGAGGATTGCGGTTCAAAGCTAGCCCACTAGAAGTGGTGCTGTGGCTCAAGGGTAGAGCACTCGCCTTGAGCTGAAGAGCGTAGGGACAGCGCCCAAGCCCAGAGTTCAAGCCCCATGACCAAAAAGAAATAGACAAACAAGTAAACAAGGAATTACAAAGTACAAATTTAGGTAAGCATTATGGATAAAAATAATAGCACAAGCCAGACACCAGTGGCTCACTCCTGCTATTCAGGAGGCTGAGATCTGAGGATTGTGGTTCAAACCAGCCTAGGCTGGCTTCATCTCCAATAAACTAATCAAAAAAGCTGGAAGTGGCACTGTGGCTCAGGTGGCAGAGCACTAGCCTTGAGCACAAAATGCTCAGAAACAGAGCACAGAAGCCTGGCGCTGGTGGCTCATACCTGTAATCCTAGCTATTCAGGAGGCTAAGATCTAAGGATCACAGTTCAAAGCCAGCATAGGCAGAAAAGTCTGTGAGACTCTAATCTCCAATTAATCAGCAAAAAGTTGAAAGTAGAGCTGTGGCTCAGTGGTAGAGTGTTAGCCTTGAGCAGAACCCAGAGACAGAACCCAAACCCTGAGTCCAAGCCCCAGGACTGGCACAAAAGGGAGGTAAGACAGGAGAAGTAACAGACACAATGCTAAAGGAGTTGGAAGGAGATCTGATCAAATCTGTGGTGAAACTCTCAAAGGAACCCATGGTCCCAAACAGAAAGAATCACTCCATCACTCCACTAGAGACATTAGGCATTTGCCCTTGTAGATGGTTCCCAAAGTCAGTACTTTATACCACACTGCTGTAACTTCCTGACACAATATAAAGTTTGAAGGAATCTTTGGTTAAAGATAATATGGAAACTAATCTCTTACAGATTATCTGTTGGAATGTAGCTAGAAGAAATTCCTTTTCCTATTTTGAACAAGTTATTCTGAGTACTAATTTCTATCATGAATTTGGTAATCATCTCAGATTTTTAAAAAACTTCAGGAAAACATTATTTGGTATGAATTTTATAGAGTATATAAAGATGTATAAATCATAGGATAGATGAACTCCACTGTCAGCATTCTAATCTTTAGCTGCTTAGAAAATGCACACACATAGAAATTTCACATACAACTTTACAGATTCCAGAATGTCCAATGACTGGGTCATTAAAAACGACTGAGTACTCTCTGAATTACAGACTCAATATTAGCTAGAGCAATGAAGCTGAACAATATCAATAAAAGAAATATACTGCACTTAGAAATTTTGAATCTTTCACAGGAAGCAAGAGATTCACAATTTCTGTTTTAGTGCTTACTGGTAAAATTATATTGAGAGCATAATTCATTAACATGCAGATTTTTTAATAATCTATATTCAACAAATCTTCATATAGAACATTTCTCCACTCAATACTTACATTCTGTTTTCACTCTGTGTGGACCCAGTGTAGCCATTGCCTTAATTCAAAAAAAAAAAAAAAGAATTGTCTTACTTCAGACTGAAACGTATTTTGATATCTCATATACAATGCTCCCAATTGGTTCAATAACAAATACAGTAAAATATAACCAATAGCTGTACTTAACGGAATCTTTAATAATCTATAATTATTAGCTGCTCTAATTTTTCAGTGCTGGTAATAAAACCAGGGTTTTGTTCATGCTAAGCAAGCACTCTACCAATGAGTCATACTCCAAGCCTTCTAATAAGTTTTTTATGTCTAAGGCTAAAAAGAAAGGCCAGGTGCAATGGTTCATATCTGCAATCTCAGCTGTTTAGAAGGGAAACACTGAGAGGACCACAGTTCAAAGCTAGCCTGGGCAAAAAAGTTAAAAAACAAACTGTGGTCTGAGACTAGTCTGGGCAAAACAGTGTGATCCTATCTGAAAAATAACAAAAACGAAGAGGCTGGTAGTGCTAACACACTTACCTAGCAGATATGAATACCTGAGTTTAGTACCAAAAACAAACAAAAAAAAGAATATATATATAAAGATAATAATCCCTCCTCCTGTTATCAGTATCTGAAATAATCCTTTGATGTCAACTAAGTTGATAAGAAATGGAAAAGTTTAATATGGAAATTAAATCTCTACTTCTAAAGAAGCAGAGAAAATGCTTCTAATTCTTGGCTAATGACAAAACACAAGACACAATTTAGGGCTCAAATGTTCACTTTTGTTCCTTCAACAGATAGGATGAGTGCCTTCCATGAGCCATAACCAAGCACACAATAATGATATTGTTATTTGGGCGCACTTCTACATGTTATTAAACAATTAACATCCCTAGTTCTTGAAATATTCTGCTGACACATTTCCTAGTTCTTAACAGATTATGGTCTTAACAGATTATATTACTGTTTGTAAAAGACTGCCAAAATGTTACCAAAATAAGATATAACAACTATATTTTGATATACTAGTGAAGAAAACAGAAAAAAATCTAACAAATATGACTATAAAAATATTCTCTTCCATTATTCTTTAATTTTTTATTTTTAATATTTTATCTTTAAGTAGTTATACAAAAGAGTTGCCACTTAACAAAGCAGCTTCTGAATACAATGCATCCAGACCAATGTCATACGTTTCAACATTCTCACTTCTCTCTCCCAACCTACGCCTCCTCTCACTTTTCTTAATTTTTGAAAATATATATTGAACTTGTTACTACAGTCTCTCCCTCCCTTCTCTTTTTTCCTCTCACTCTCCTTGACCCCACCCCAACCCTGGTGTTTATTTTGTTGAACTATGATTTTGCCTTTCTAAGGAATTACACTGTTTGAGTTCTCCTCTAAATCTTCTGTATTTCAATTAATACATTTATGTACAATTGTGTACCACACAAGGTATGAAACTATTACAGGAAGGAGTATAAGAAACATTAAGACTCTTTGGGACAACTTTCTGAGTAAAGATCCAGAAGCACAGCAAGTCAAAGAAAGACTTGATCAATGAGACTGTATCAAACTAAAAGATTTCTGATAGCAAAGAACATACCTGACAAGCTAAAGATCGCTTACACAATGGGAGATTTTTACCATCTGTAAATCAGGCAATGGCTAATATCCAGAATATACAAAGAGCTTAAAAAACTAAACCCTCATCCAATTAACAAATGGCTAAGGGTCTTTAATCTTACCTTTCTAATTGTTGTCCAGTCTTCAAGAATATCAAGATCTTGTAGCATATAAACTATATATGGACGTTGACAAGTCAAGGTCAATTCGATTGTAAGAACATCACATTTTCATTTCTATTTCTAAAGTTGTAGTTTTCAGAGACTGAAACAATGAAGTATAGACATAATCCTTTGGCATCCTGAATTGACTTCAAACTATTCTTTAAGAAATTTAGGACAAATATATTCTAGTACTTCTGATGCCATAAACAGTTCCCTTAATCCTGTATCACTGATCGCAAAATACATCACCAACCTAATCACTAATGTTAAAGTGAAGCTGAGAAAGCCAGCTAGGGGCAAGGTGAAGATTTAGAAGACTAGGAAATGTGAAGACTCAATGTATACATCATTATTATTTAGATATTCCAATGTCAGGAACATAAAGGTGTTCTTTAAAGGTATACACTAACGGGGCTGGGAAGGTGGCTCAGTGGTAGAGCGCTTGCCTTGCATGCATGAGGCCCTGGGTTTGATTCCTCAGCACCACATAAGCAAAAAGAAAAAAGCCGGAAGTGGCGCTGTGGCTCAAGTGGTAGAATGCTAACCTTGAGCATAGGGAAACTCAGGGTCAGTGCCCAGGCCCTGAGTTTAAGCCCCACAACCCAGAAAAAAGCACTGGAAGCATGGCTCAACAGCAAAGCACCTACCTAGCAAGTGCAAGGTCCCAACTTCAAACCCCAGTGCTACAAAAAAAGTACATAGGAGGTCAGGTGTGTCATACACCAGTAATCCCAGTATTTGAAAGCTGAAGCAAAAGGATCAAGAGTTAAAAGCCTGGACTACATAGCAAAATTGTCTAAAAAATGTACACATGAGAATTGTTCTTGCTATATAAGAAACAGCTCTTTCACAATGTCATCATAAGCCACAAAACCATACTAATTTTCGAAGTTGACATGATTTCTTCTTCTACCTCTTCATCTAAATAATATGTTCTGTCTTCAATCTACTTACTACAACAGGACCATCTAATTAAAGTCAATCTGTGCTGGTAAAATTTATAAAAGTATATATGATGTAAAATATACATCAAGTGGGGCTGGGAACGTGGCTTAGTGGTAAAGTGCTTGTCTAGCATGCATGAAGCCTGGGTTCCATTCCTTGGTATCACATAAACAGAAAAAAGCGGAAGTAGCACTATGGTTCAAGTGGTAAAGTGCTAGCCTTAAGCAAAGAAGCTCAGGGTCAGTGCTGGCCCTGAGTTCAAGCTCTAGGAGCAGCAAAAAAAAAAAAAAAATTTCCAGCAAGGAGGGAAAAAAAACCCTACAGTTTAGAAAAGGATATCTGAAACAACAACTGGCTTCTTCTTGTCAGGACTGAAGGGGTCCTTCCTCTTTTTTCTTGATTGAAGTTCATCATTCCACAGCTCTGAAAGCAAATAAAAGGAAAGATTAGGGCTGGGAATGTAGCTCAGTGGTAGAGTGCTTGCCTAATATGCATGAAGTCCTAGGTTTGATTCCTCAGTTCCACATAAACAGAAAAAGCCGCAAGTGGAGCTGTGGCTCAAGTGGTAGAATGCTAGCCTTGAGCATAGCAGCTCAAGAACAGTGCCCAGCCCCTGAGTTCAAGCCCCAGAACTGGCAAAAAATAAAAATAAAAAATAAAAAAGGAAGGATTATTTGATCTCCAACCACATGAGGGTCTACATATTTTTCTCATTTACATGTAAACTATACAAAGCTTCCATAAAAATGATGCATATATATTAAGACTGTATAAGATACCATGACTCTATTATGCCTGCTCTGTACCAGAGAAATGAAGTTTCTAACAGACAAAATAAGACATGTTCAAGAGCCCTGAAACAGACTAGGAAACCTGCTACCCTGAAACAATTCATTTCACTCTGGACTCATCTAACTTCCAACAAGTGTCCTTTTTCTGAGACAAAAATCTACCTCCCCTCGCTCCATCCATTAGTTATAGCTTGATGCCAGAGCGGAAAGGTTCCTAACACTGCAGCTGACTCTCACTGCTTCTTATGTATGTCCCTTCTATTTTGTCCCTTTGGCTGTCCTCAGTTTATATCTTTCTACAGTATGAGTTCAAATCAAAGGAACAATTGTAATCCAACCCAATTCTTTCCAAATTGGCTCCTTTTCCCTCCTATTGGACATTTCATCTGCATACACTAATACTAGAAGAAACAAAGGTTCGGCGTCGCAGTGCGCCCTCACCTGAGGTGATGTCAATGCTGTGCCTGTCCTCCTCAAGTCTTCTGATTTTCTCCTCCAGCTCACTCTGGACTGTATCATACAACAAAAGCTTTTCACTCTGGGAGGTAAACAAAACTATAGATTACAGAAAGAAAATATCCATCCATCCTAACTAAGGGCCAAGTTTCTGAAAGTACTTTAATACATGGTAAGTTTTGATTGCTTTTACATTTACAATGAAAATAAAATGTTTTAAAGAAATGTCAATGTATGAAAGAAATATATAAAACTAGAAATTACACTAGCTAAATATTAATTTAAACTACATAAAATTATATACTGTTTAAGATGTAAATTGGAGAATGCAGTCAAGTATATCCTACAAAATTAAGAAAAGGAAGGGAGAAGAGGTGGGTTGGGGGTATGGGTGAGAATGTTGAAACGGGTGGCACTGATCAAGACAAGTTATATTCATAAACTTCTGTGTTAAATGACAATTTCTTTGTACAACTACTTAAAGATAGTAATAAAAAAAATGTAAACTGGCCAGATATAGTAGCTCACATCTGTAATCACAGCTAATTAGAAGGTGGAGATAGAAGAACTTTTGTTCAAGGCCAGCCTGTGCTAAAAAGTTAGCAAGACCTCTTCTCAATAAATAAGCTGGGTATGGTGGTTCATGCCTGTAATACAAAAAAACACAAAAACAAAAACAAAACAAAACAGGAGATATAAGTAGGGAGTATCAGAGTCCAAAGCCAGCCTGGGCAAAAAGCTCAAGACTCTATCTGAAAAATTACTTTAAAAAAAAAAATGAGGAGAGGAGGGAGGCTGGAGGCAGAGAGCAGCTGGTAGAGAGTACTTTGCCTAGCAAGCACAAAGCCTAATTCTAGTCTTCCCTATCCCACCAAAATACATGAATAAGAATATCTAAATTAATGGAAAAACTTGGAAAAAAATTATATTAAGTGAAGTAAGCCAGGCCCAAAGAAACATAGGTCCCATGGTTTCCCTTATTTGCAATATCTAGTATATGTATAATAGAGTCAAGCGGAAAAGGTCAGATAATGTGATGTCAGGAAAATGAACCCTTAGATATGTATTTTAATGATTTTTCTTTCATGCATGTGTTTCTAATGCATTTATAAGATTATCTCTTTGTTGCTTTGTATGTCCCTCCCCCACAGTATAACCCCTGCTTTCACTATATTTGATGTCAGTATAACTTGTGGAGGAGATAGGGAAAAACAAGTCGTTTAAGGATACAGGGGACCTGTTGCAACAATGAGAAGTACAAGTTGTCATGCCCAAAACGAGCTTTACAATGTCAGTGGAGGAGGGGGGAGAAGGATTGGGATTGGGGGGGAGGGGGGAGGCTGGGAAGGGATGTGAAGGGTAAACAAAGGAGGAGGCTGCAATTCTTGGTAAGAAATGTACGCATTATCCCGCCCATGTAATTGTAACCCCTCCGTACAGTATGTTCACAAATAAAATTTAAAAAAAAAGAATATCTAAATTTACATGTGTTAAGAAAGTAAATATTTACTTTATAAAATTCTGGCCTTTTTGAAATATCACTGGCCTGCCTGTCACCATAATGGAAAGCAATATGAACTGTATCCTCAGAAAATTGAGCATATTTTCTCATAGGAATGGTAATTGTTAATGTGAATTGTCTTCACATCATATTCTGTGGGCCAATATCACAAAAAGTATCGAACATAAATTTTATAGCCATTTAAGATAATTATTGACAAAATTATAAAGGTATTAATTACTTCCAAACAGCTCCAAAACTGTAGAAAGACACTTGGATCTTAGGGATATAACTTGGTGACAGAATACTTGACTAGCATACACAAGCCCTGACTTTGATCCCCACAACTATGAAAAAAGAAGAAAGAACCTATAATCACCTTTACAATAAAATAAATTAAATTATTTTTAAAAAAGGAAGTGGGAAAAAGGAAAAGGAGGAGGAACAGAAAGAAGAAGAGAAGAAACAGACTAGAAGCAAGGTCTACAAGGTCTATATTATTTGAGGTTATATAACACTGCAGCCCTTCTTAGAAAAGCCACATGTTTTACATAAATACTCAAGAGTTATTACACCAACAGCCTAGGACAGACCCATCCTTAACCCCTGCCCCACACACTCATGTCAAGTGGAAATACTTGGTCAGTGGGAAGATTAGAAATGAGTCTTGTGTAAGATACTGTGGGGTCATCAGTTAGGATATAGGTTGCACTTTGTCAGAGAATGGTGCCAGGCATCAATCATGAACTCCCATTTGGGGTTTGAAATATAGACTCTACATGTGCTTGATGGTTTTATGTAAGGTAGGAAAAGGATGGCTTTTGTTCACTCTAAGCCAGTAAGTAGTTTAAAAGACAGCCAAGCTGAAGAAAATCCTAACTCAATGTCAGGTGAAAATGATCTCCTTGCATGCTGCTCTCTGTACGTTTTTGTTTTTTTGGTCGGTCATGGGCCTTGAACTCTGGGCCTGGGTACTGTCCCTCAGCTGTTCAGCTCAAGGCTAGCACTTGCCACTTGAGCCACAGTGCCACTTCCGGTTTCTAGTGGTCTTTATTGGAGATAAAGTCTCATGGACTTTCTTGCCTGGGCTGGCTTTGAACCATGATCCTCAGATCTAAGCCTCCTGAGTAGCTAGGATTACAGGCATGAGCCATCAGTACCCAACTCTCTGTACATTTTTATGCTTTCTCCTGTCTTAGGAAATGTTCCAGTTCATCCACATTGTGCTACAGGAATTGGGAAGTGTTCTCTATCAAAGGAAAAAGAAGCAGATGCCCTCCAGACTCACACCTTTGAAGTACACTCAGTTCCCCAAGAAAAGATGGTTAAATGAAGACCTTTGAAGAACAGAGAAGTTTAACAAGAGTATTCTCTTTCCTTTCTGTTGATAAATTTGCCCTATATCAAGCAGAAATTCTATCGTAAGTCCACTAATCTTTTGTGTGTGCGCCAGTCATGAGGCTTGAAGTCAGGAGCTATCCCTGAGTTTTTTGTTCAAGGGTAGCACTCTATAATTTGAGCCATAGCTCCACTTCTGGCTTTTTGGTAGTTAATTAATTGGAAATCAGAGTCTCATAGACATTTCTTCCCAAGTTGTCTTTGAGCCATGATCCTCAGATCTCAACCTTCTCAATAGCTAGGATTGAAGGGGATAGCCATTGGCACCCTACCACTAATCCTTCTTTTCAATTTAGGTAAAGCCAGAATGAGCCAGAAATAAGTGGATCAGGTCTTCTATAATCCTAGCTACTCAGGAGGCTGAGATCTGAGGCTCCTAGTCCAAAGCCAGCTTTGGGCTGGCAAACCCAAGAGACTCTTGTCTTCATTAGTAGGGCAAAAGCCTTGAGCAAAAAAGCGCAGGGTCAGCTCCCAGGCCCTGAGTCAAGCCTTAGGACCACATACACACAGACACAAATATATATATATATATTACTTTTCTTGTTGGGTTCCAGAGGTTCATACCTATAGTCCTAGTTACTTAGATGACTCAGATCTGTAGGATAGAAATTCAAAAACAGTCTAGGCAGAAAAATACACAAGACTCCATATCCAAGGAACCAGCAAAATGTCAAACTAGAAGCAAGGTTCAAGTAGTAGAGCACCAGCTGAGCAAGTGTGAGGCTATGGGTTCAAACCCCAGTAACATCAAAAATAATAATAGTAATACTTATTGTGAGGCATAGTGACACATGACTGTAATCTATCTCATTTACTTCAGTCCTGGTCAAAGCCCTGAGACCCTATATGACAAACAACTACAAACAAAAATGGGTTTGGGACCATGGCTCAAGTGGTAGCACACTAGCCTAGCAAGTGGGAGGCCCTGAGTTGAATCCCCAGTGCTTCCAAAAATTATTTAATAGTACACAAATATACACTTGGTATACTTCCATTCTCCACACCTGCACTTACTGAACCTGCTCACTAGCCCATTTCAGGCTGACACCTATGCTTTTCTCATCAGGACAGTCTTAAGAAACCCCAAGTGAGTACTCCCAAGGTTCCATTTTGGTACTTTCTCACACTGACCTATGTTCAGAATGAGATCCTCTTTGGTAGTTTCCTTACTTAAATACCTCACAGTTCTCAACTTCCTTCAGGACTAAAGCCCTGGGACATTTTTGACATTACCAGAAAGTGATGGATAAAATTTAAAAAGCTACAATAACTGGGCATGGTGGCTCATACCTGTAATTCTATCTTACTTGGGAAGTAGAGATAGGAAGATTGCTGTCTTAAAAGGATCCTGTCTTAAAGAACAAGCCAATTACATTTCTGTAATTCCAGATATGCTTAGAGGTGTATGTATGAGAATTGCAATCAAGGATGGCCTAGTCAAACAGTTCGAAACTCTATTTAAAAATAAGAATAAAAAGGGCTGGAAATATGGTTCAAGTGGTAAAGCACCTGCCTAGCAAATGTGAGGTCCAGAGTTCAAAACCTCAATACTACCAAAGAAAGCTTTAATAGTTTCCCCCCCCCAACTGTATTGTACTGAAATAAGAAGTATATAGGATAGAATTCAAAAACAGAAACAACCTGGTTATGACGGAGTGATCAACTGGAAATCTAATAATGTTAGGAAAATGAATTTAACTGTATCCTGGAGGCTAGAAGTATGGTTCAATGGTAGTGCATGTGTCTATAATGTATGAGGCCCTGGGTTTAATCCCTTCTACCACCACCCTGGACTAAAAAGTTAAACTAATAAAATAAAATCTAAAAGAAAATATTAAAGTAACAATATAAAAAAGCATTCACAGAACTTATTCTTCCACAGCATCAAGGACAAAGAGAAAATTGTTAAGAAAACAGGTCAGAATCAAGAAGCAGAATGACCTCTCAAAAAATAATACTGATCCAGGTACTAACGGCTCATGCCTGTAATCCCAGATACCCAGAAGTCTGAGACCTAGAAGATGCAGTTCAAAGCCAGCATGAGCAGAAAAGTCCAGGAGAATCAATCTCCAATTAACCAGGAAAAAAAAAAATACAGACTGAAGGTGTGGCTAAAATGGTAGAGCAACAGCTTTAAACAAAAAAGCCAAGTGAGGGCTGGGAAGGTGGCTCAGTGGTAGAGC